GAGAGAGAGAGAGAGAGAGAGAGAGGTCGATAACATAATACTAGAGATGATTCACGAAGAACAGTAATGTTGTTCACCACATATCAAGTCCCATGTTGTTCACCATTTTGACTAAGGTTAGGATAACGGACTTGATATGTGCTGAACAGCATGACTGCTCTTCGTGGATCATCTCCTGCATCATGACTATTTTGCGCGATAGGATCCACGATTTGTACTTATGCCGTTCAGCACATATCAAGTCCATTATCCTAACCTTAGTCAAAATGGAGCAACGCCTCTCTCTCTCTCTCTCTCTCTCTCTCTCTCTCTCTCTCTCTCTCTCTAGCATCTACCCAGGGCGAGGGTTATCGTGATCGGCCGGAGCGCGTGGATCAGGAATGAAGCCGGTGTAACCATCGTTCTGCGGGTTAGGCCACCTCATACGCATCGCCTCCTCGAATTCCGTCGGCAGTCTCTGACGGCGAGTGTAACCGCAGAGGTTCGCGAACTCCCTGTACCCTGCGAATCTGTTAGCCGCCACGTCCAGTCGATCGTTTCCCACGAGGATATGCAAAAACTGGTCATTGCGGTCCTCCTCACCGAAAATCTGTACCGCGGTTTCAACCAAAAATGCAGGATGCGGCCATGCTGCTCGTATTTGATCCCCGTTCATTTGCGGGGGAGGAGGTCGTGGGCGACGTGTCGCGACGACTGTTGGCCCAAGCCCGGGGCCCCCTCGACCGCGCACAACTCTACGTCTTGGTCGACGGTCGTACACCATGTCCCCATCATCTTCGTTGTTGGGTGCTTGAGGTTTTGCTTGCTCCATTATAGTGTCGCGTCGTGAGTATCTGCAACAGATGCGGTGGAAGTTAGTGTCGGTTCACGGAACATGGAAAATAAATATCCAAAAAATTCTTCTCCATTGCAGACAGAGTATGGCGGACAAACGACAAGCGTCCACACACCGTTTTGCACAACGGTGCCATAGTGTGTTTCGAGGAGACGATACACAAGAGGATACACAACGTCATACATTTGATCACCGGGCACCGGTGGGAGCACGAGGCGATTGAAGTGTGTCGTCGACTTTGACATTAGAACTCGAACAAAGTCAACGGCATGATCACGAATGCACATCTCGGTTGTTAGTCTGACCACCTGGTAATCTTTGACGCCAACAACGAAATGTCGTCGTTGAAGCTTGTCCCTGTTTTTGAAATCTGGCACCTCGTGAACTGTTTGTGTCACCGGCGTCATGGACTCACAATAATAAGTGATGTCGCCGTTAGGAAGACTCGCGGAATGGCAAACACAAATGGTAGAGCTAAACGTAAGCGGGATGGCAAGCACAAATGGTAGAGTTAAACGTAAGCAGGATGGCAAGCACAAATGGTAGAGCTAACATGACCCTTTCGCAATACGGATAGTAATAACTTACACGAACCGAAAAAAAAAACACTCGGCCATAGGACCACAGGGGATTGAGAAAAAAAAAAACAGTAGTTGAAACGAAAGACGAATCAAAAAAAAAAAATAAAAAAAATTCAAAAATCGATTTTGTTATTTTTTACCACTATGCTTTCAACTAGATCCACGAGTCCAAGTTCGAGGGTCCGGGACAACGACCGAACTGTTTTTGCTTCTTCAACTTTTGAGAATTTCATCCTTCACAGCCAGCAGAGTTATGATCCTTGTCAGGATCCGAACCCCGACACGATACGGAAACATACGACCCAGGGTTGTCCCGGGATATACTGACTGAGTCGCGCGTCTGGGTAGTGCTTCCTGATAGGGAGACCGCAACTTGTGGCAAAGAGAGCCCGAGTTCGACTTCAGTACCGCCATGAGTGTCGTGGCCCGAAACAAGGAACGGAGTCGAAGGGTTAGGGGAATCGACACGAGGCTTGCCCTCCTCGCGCAGCAGACGTTGCTCACGGATTGTGCAAAGAGCCTCCCGATTATCCAATTCTTTTTTTTTTACCGCAAGGACGACACAATTGTTTGCACCTGGGAATACGATGTCGACAGCACAACACGTGCGTTGTTCAGGTCGTTTGTCACCGTCTCTATATGTTTATCTATGATCTTGTCGAGGTCATATTTGCCTTCATTGCCTTATGGATATGACTGGTGAAGGCCGTCCGTTTTGCATGGTTGCAGACGGCGCATACGGTCACGGAGCGAAACCTTTTTTCGGTTATCATGAGGATTCATGACACGGCCACAGAATGAGCGACATGATATCTGGAAACACAGAACAAGAAACAAGAGTCATGAACACATCACACATTAGGGGTCGAGGATGACGTCACGCAGGTTGTCGGCGTTCGGGACGGGCCGAACGCCCGAACCCGAACGCCCGAATGTACGAGACCCTTTCGGAAGGCGTTCGGCCGTTCGGGCCGAACGCGGACCAAAAAAAAAAAAAAAAAGTTTTCAAACAATTC